TGTTGGCTGGGATGAGCAGACATTGCTTTGCATGTGGGTATGAGGTAGACACAATTCAAGTTCCTGTTTCAAAGCACAGAGGGGATAAAACCACTCCAAGTTCTCTGCTGGATGTAGATGAAACTTGAACTTCTAGGAAAAATAGCAAATTAACAAGACCAAAACAGGTGCCACCTGGCCTGGCTGAATTTGCCCAAATGGTTCATGTTGCTAAACTGCTAACAGTTGAGGTTTCCAGAATGCGTTTCTGTGAACTCTGCACATAATAGCTCTGTTTCAAAATCAGTGGCATAGAGGTAGTCCTTCTGGCACAGGTAAGCTTTCCTTTGATTTTTTTTTTTTTTTTATTAGTAATGCGGAGTGCAACAATACAAAGCACAGGCAGGCTTTGAGAGCCTGTTGAATGATGCATGTGAATGAAACTGCATGAAACTGATCTTATCGCTGAATTTGCATGGCTATTCTGTATACTCAGCAGCCAAGGATGCTGGAGGCGTTTTGTTTGGATGAACAGGTAGCTTTCTAAACTAACCATCTGTTTGTTTATAATAGAATTGTTCTTCATCCTGACATAAGTCTCACAAAATTATTCTGTTAAGTGAAATTGTTATTTATTTATACTGTAATGAGTGACTTTGGATCAGGCCCGTGACCTGTCTAAAAACTAAATATATCAGCTTACTGTTTTGCTACTTATTCTTGAGTCACCCATGTTTACCTTAAAGGCATAGTAGAAAATGTTGATTTTACTGTTCACCAGATTTACTGTACTGTGTTGAATAAATTCGTGCAGGGTGAATAATTAATTTGAGTGCAAGTCTTCTAGTCCTCCTTACATAAATGCATATTCCATTGATGTAGAATTTCTCTGGCTGGTTTGATAGCTTTACTCTAGCAAAGATCAGTACATACAGTTCTGGGGGGAGTTTAAAAATATCAGCTGCTCCCTCTTACATTGTACCTTGCTCACTGCCTAAGGCTGTGCCTAGAAGAGTGAGGAAAATCCTGTGGAGTATCAGTTTATATGTTGAAAAATAACACTTTCATTGTTACCATCTAACTTCCAGTAATTACTAAATACTTCTGATGGTCATTGATGTATCTATTTATGGATACATTTTAGCCATGTTTATAAGCTCAGGCTGAAACTTGCATGCACTAACTCTTCTGGATAGTGAAGCTTCACGCTGTCTGATATTTAAGGAACTATTTTGCCTTGTTATACTTCTGATCGGTTGCAGTACATACTTCCTTGATTTTATGCAACAAAATGGAATGTTAAAATGCACTTTGCAGTTCATATTACGCTGTTAGTAACTGTACTTAATACCGTAATTGTACCCTGCCTCCTCTTTTCTTTTTTTTAAAAAAAAAAAAAGGCAACACACTTCAGGAGTTGCAGTCTTCATTTTCTATGTATACGTGTATTATGTTGATAATGTTGATAGAGCTAATTACTTTGACCTTTCAGTCATCTCCTGTTTCAAAGTTATATTGGCATCCTCTTTGCTGCATTAGGTGTCTGTATATATACAAACAGAAATATATATACACATGTATATTTCTTCCTTTATCAGGCCCAGTGCTGATAGCTCATCATTCTACAGGTATTTTCAATTCTTTTGTTCTACCTCTAGAGGACTATTATATTCCACACTTAAGAACTCTTTCACTTTAGATGACATGACCCGTAATTCTACCCTCTTTGTCTCTTGCAGCTTTTTCACTGATATGGGAAAAATAATTCGTCCTTTAACAATGTTAAAGAATTGCTGTAGTTGGCCTCTAATCATCACCTATATATGGAGGTCAAGAATAATTGTAGCATAAGCAAAAAAATATTTCAATGTAACATTAAAAAAAAAAAAAAGTTGGGCAGGAGTTTTTTGTTCTTGAAAAGACAACAGAAATGTCTGTGCATGTATCTGTATGTTAATATAGAGCCAAAATTCTGTGTATTAATGGTAGTCAGTTCAATGATTACTGTTTCTGCAATATACAAGTCTTTGCTAATGTTAAATTAGCATTTTCTCAGTTACAATATAGCATTATTTTCTGTCCCTGTTGAATATGGAGAATATCTGATGCACATTCTCATTGTAAAGTTCCTTTTCTATCTCTTATACCTGGTAATGCATTCATTTCTCTCTGAAACAGGTTAGAGCTTCTAGTTTAATCTGACAATGTCTTAAATTTAGTGGGATTTTTTTTGTTCTTTTGTTTTGCTTTGTCTTTGCATTAAACTGTATCTCAGTTTGAGTCAAAGCTTGGTAAGAGAAGTCAAATGTTAATGTTTTGTAATTTTTTGTGATTTTGTAACGTAGTACATACCAATAACTAATTATTGATACCAAAGCGGTAATTCTTCTGCACAACCTGTATTGGACAATTATGCTAGCTTGGCTGTCATTAGAAACAACAGATTGAAGGATGATGTGGGGAGCGAGTGGTATTTGCACCAGGAAGGAGGAGGTGTTTCTCTAGTACCAGACAAAAAGAACAGCAACAAAAGAAAATAAGCTCTTGAGTCAGCATTTGTAACATCCATTGTAGTTGCAGAAGCAGCTGCAGCACGGAAACAGGGCAAATAGAATTTGAAATGAAGCTGAAAAAGAAATTGCCAATTGCCTGCAGGGATGGAGGAAACCATTGGGGCTGATTTCCAATCAGTTGCTCTGTTTTATTTTTCTGACAGCCTTGATAAGAGGTCAAAAAAGAGACGGGAACTGCTCTTTGGCCTGCTTACTGCATCCCTGGCTGTTGCTCAGCTGCAAGTGCTCTTCCATGCACAAAGAAATGCCACGATGATACCAACAGTAGTTTGCATTGGTGTTGGATGTGGAACATTTCCAGGAGACACCAGTAAATTGTCTTCAGATACAAAAAGCCTTCCAGGTGTAGAAGGCAGGCTAGGGATGGATGAATAATGTCAGTTCATGGTAAGAGTACTGGCTGGGGTTTAAAAGAGGATCAAGTGTACCATCTCAGCATAAAAGCAGTGTTTGTAGCTACCTTGTCCTGGGGCAGCAGGAGATGATTTAATATCAGTACAGGCTACAGAAAATCTTAATGTTGCATGAACACTATCAGGTTACAGAGAAACATATTATCTGTAAATGAACTTATGTTATCAGCAGGCAGGCATGGTTCCAATTAACACCTACTTCTGTAGGCTTGATGTTAAATCTTGTCAGTCTTTGGTGGTGATACATGTGTGCAAGGTATTTATTAGCCTAGATGAGAAGTTTGTGTATTGAAACTGTCTGCAAGGCCGAAAAATTTTAGAGATTTGTCTTTGCTTGCTCAAACTAGATCTCTTCTGAATGCCACAACCATAATTGCAGCACTTCTGCCATTTAATTGACCAGCTAATTTACACAGTAATTATATAATAGGGTATTTAAGAGTGTCTCTCTAAAGCAGAGGTATTAGCTTTATTTATCTGCTTCATTCAAGAACAGATGTGTTCTGTGGTCCTGAAATAAATAGTGTCTTTGTAAATCCAAGGCTGCTATTTTTTTGGAATAGAATATGGTGGGAAATCTAAATTATGAAACATAAAAGATAAGTGAAACTAATTACATTTCAACTTCTGAAAACTTGTTTTTGATAAAATCTGATTCAGGGTAATGATAAGTAGTTTAAAACATTAACAGTATGAGGGAAGTATTGCTGTCTTTTGTACCATGGTGGCCTAATATTTCATTTAGGCTTTGACATCCTGTTTTTATATTTCAAAGGACTGTCTTCTGTGTCTCTGCAGCTTCAGTCCTTTGCATTTTCTTAATAATTTAGATTTAAATGTTTATTCTTTCATTTTTCCCCCAATCCATTCTTTCTTTATTTTTAATCAGGTTTCTGTACTTCCAGAAACATCTGTGTGTAAGGTCTTTTTTTTTTATGAGTATGAAGCCTTGTACATGCTGCTAGTAAGCTTAGCAAAATGGATGAGTAGGATTTTAAATCTAGTACTTAAAGAAGATTGAGTGACACGAAGGAAAAAGACTTAACTCGCCACCCACACTCAAGGCCATATCCTGTGTGAACCACAAGAGCAGTCCCAGGGAAGACAGAAAATACTAACATAAGTGAAGTAGGCAGGATTTAATTGAAATAACACACTTGGTTAAGAACTTTTTAATCTAGCATCATAGAAAACTAAACTGCTATGGGTATACCTTAGAAGAAGCAGAAACTCGCTAAGATGAGACTCAGGTGGGTATTACACGGGACTTACTCTCTTTCTAAATCTTATACAAGTGTAAGTGTAGATAAAGAAGTGCTTATGCTGCAGTTAGGGCCCAAGTAAGCATTTTCCTTTTGTACTTTGTGACAGTCACTGTTGTGTCAAACATTTTCTTGTGTTATTTTCTTCCGTGGTTTGGCAAACCAGCTGCTACCTTAAAGGGTTTTACCATGTCTCTTGATACTTGTTTTCCTTAAAACCATGGGCTCCACTTGAAGTTTGTTGTACAAGAACCTCAACTACCCAGTCATTTTCTTTTTGAAGGAAGTGTTTAGCTCTGTTTTCAGATGAGCACAGACTTCAAAACATAAGCCCCAGAGAACATGATTTTGAAATCATGAGACACCTCAATGGCTCCTGACGTGAGGCCATGGTACACCTCGTTGTTGCTGACCATAGTGGTTAACAGTGCAGTGCTGTTGTGCTCTTCTTTTGGTGGAGAATTAATTGTGTATGGCAGATCTGAATATAATTATTGTGAATAAAGAATAAACTGTCCATCAGGAACATTTTTCTTGCTCTTAAGCAAAACCACTACATCGGAAACAACCAAACTGGAAGGGAAAAAATATGTATCTGAACAACTTTGACAGAATTGCTGGGTATTTAAATATGCTTTCAAGTGTTGTTTGTAATGCTGTGTCAGGCCTGGAGGTGCCATGTAGGTCTGATACCTGGTACTAAAAAGATCAGTAACTTGGATTAGTATGTGTTTGGAATTAATGCCATGTAATATCTCATTAATTATTGTTAGGTGTAAGCAACTGAGGACGACGCTTCTTGCTGTCAGAACATGGAGAACAACGTAACTACTATCTCTCGAGAAGAGCTTGACGAACTAAGAGAAGCATTCGATAAGATAGGTATGTTTTGGGTTAGAAGATAATAATGATGCCAATAACACTGCAGAGCCATGGAGGTTTTTGTGGACAAAATCTTTATGGAACACTTTGGTTTAATAGGGCTATGTTTTCTCTCTGTTGCAAATAATAGCTAAAAAACTAAGAATGCTTATTTAAAACCACTTGTTTTCAATGCAACTGTGTTTCTTCACTTCTTTCAACTTCAGCAATGGAAACAGATAAAGTAGCATAAATAATACAACTGTTCAGCTCAAAAGTTAATGTATTTGCTGCATAATACATCTCAAAAATCAGTTACTGGAACTCCTTAAATCTCAACAAAATTTTGTTGTGATAAAACTTTAAATCATTAAATGTTCTCATGTTTATTATTGACCTAGATAATTGACTGTTTCTGCTTTACTTGCATACTTTGAACTAGTAATTTGTCTTTCAGTTTGTTGGATGTAATTTTATATTTTAACTAAGCTAAACTTGGAGTCTTTTTGATCTTGCCTTTAAAGCTAGCAGATGCTAATAATTTAACTCAATGATTTTGTATGTCTGACAGGATATTTTCAGATTAATCTGAGCGTAAACAGAAATAGCAAGAAATTAGTTAGTGAACTACTAACCCTTATTTCAAGATTGCAATAAACTTATGAATTTTGAAGTTCACATCTGCTTTATTTCTTGTTGCACGCAGGGGGTGGTGTGTAACTGTGCAGCTCAACAAAGCGATTGAGCATATTTGTAATTACTCATAATGGGATAGCGGGGTCACTTCACAGTAATTCAAAATAATTTTGAGTGCCAGCCTTAAACTCCTGAATCACAGAAGAATTTTTGTTTAATAACAACTACTCACATGTCTGTATTTTGTGTTGGTTCTGGTAGCTGAAGGACCCAGCAGACGGACACTCCTCTTTGCCTTGCCTTTCCCTCTCTACTGTTCATATACTTTTATTTTTATGCTATTAGTAGAGCAAAACCGCTTTAAGAAACAAAAGAATGACAACAACAAAACAGTTGTCTCAACAGCAGCTGAAATGTAGTGTCAGTACCTGCAAAATACTATACTTGAGGATACAATAATCCTACTTGCACAAACAGCTTGTTTTGGGGTTAAGGCATGGTAATCACTGTGGATGAAAATTATGGAACAGCTACAGCCAAGAAGAATCCTAAATGTTAGGACTCAATGTTGGGACTCACCAACTCAGTAAAGAGATGGTTGGGAAGCTGTGTATTAGAAATTTGTAACACCGTGTGTTAAGGTGAACAGAAAATTGCTTGGTTTCTGTCAATACAGGTGTCAAGTGATGTTCAGTAAAGGGTCAAGAAGTTTAAACCAAAAAGTAATAATATTTATTCATGGCAAATAATAAAATTGTGCACTCATTAATTTAGTATGTTTTGAAACAAAAAGAGGCTAGAAGTAGTAAAGGAATAAGATGTATCCATGGTTGATAATTAATGAGTTTGTATAGAACAATCATCTTGATGCAGTCTGTAGCTCAGGGTGGCTATAGCTTCCAGGAGCTGGAGTGACAGACCAAAGAAAAATCCACTGCATACATGTGTAAGTCCAGTGAGCAGTAGCCTATCTTACCAGCTGCCAATAGTGTTTTGCTACAGCTTTTATATTTGTTTGTTTTTCACCATCTGCATTCTGCTCACTAAAAAAGCACCACTTCTAATATGCTTTCTGTAAAGCGTCAAAATTAAACATCATCTATGTTTTCTTCTTTTTCCATCATTGCATTCTCAATGTTTTTGTGATTAAATTGCTTGCAGCTGCATTGATAAACTGCAGGAAAAGCAATGTATTTGTTTCTGTTTGTCACCATGGAAACTTACCCTGAGTGAAAGATGAGCCCAGCGAACTAACATAGTTGGTAATCTGAGTGAGATTGTGAACATGTCCTCTGCTCTTTAGACCATCACCATTATTACATGTGTTGTTACGTGTCTGACAGTTAAGCTAGACAATGGATGGATGGATTAATCTGTATACAAGCATAAAGTTTCACTGTGCAGTGATCTGTGAATTGTTGGAAGTATACAAAACAAAAAGACAGTAACATTCACTTTTTTTGTCCTTTCATCAGTAGTGAAATGTGGCTTGTTTACGAAGCTGTACAGATGCTATGTAGTGTAGTATAGATTACAGAAAATTCATGAATAGCAATTAATTATCCAGTAATTTAACCAGTAAACCTGAAAAACAAAGCGGGAGCATATTGGCGTGTTACAAGAGTGACCAGGTCACCTTAGTCTGTTTCTGACTCATGTCAATTCAATTTTTTTAGTTTCTGCTGTGTTGTGGTGTTCATCATGAATAACACAAATTAGAATGAGTCAGTCTTTTGTTAATTTATTTTTATGATCTATACCCATTCACTTCGCAATTGTGGAGTGAATACACAATACTGAATGAAAAAATGTAGTATTTGATCTTCCTTTCATTTGAAGGTTTTGTTGAGAATTTTGTTGGCATCTTAAAAAAGCTTAATTTTTGCTCTTTACAAATTTGCTATCTTGTTATAGCGTGCTTTGGTGTTATAGCATAGTTCCTGTGAAAATTGGCTGTCACACCTCCCAGCCAATTGTGTTTCTAATACATAAGTATTTGTTCGTGCTTGCTTATGTATGTAGTGAAGTCACAGGAAGAAATAATCTTTTCCTATGTATATCTCTTGCACTCGATGTATTCTCAACAGATGTTATACTAGGTTCTTTAAGTATAAAACCAACTTGTGTTTTTGCTTTGCAGATATTGACAACAGTGGATATGTCAGTGATTATGAGCTTCAAGATCTGTTTAAAGAAGCAAGTCTACCCTTGCCTGGTTACAAAGTACGGGAGATAGTAGAAAAAATCATTGCAGTAACAGACAGCAACAAAGACGGGAGAATCAACTTTGAAGAATTTGTCTCTGTAAGACATTACTTTTGGACTTTAATTTGTAGTACTTTGGTTTTAAGAATTGGTCTTCAGAAAATGAATAAGAACTAGTTATTTAGCTACTACCTAAAGAATAGAATGAGATATTCTTTAATACACGGCTAAGTACTAGTTTGAGCACTGGAGGGTTTTCTGCGACAATTTACAATGTCCTATATAATTATTTTCCAGTCTTTGAATTTTACTCTTCCATGTGATTTAGTAGGTCTCATTTGGGCAGCATGAGAGAACATGGTAGTTCAAAGCAGTCCTTACTTCCTCAAAAATGAAGAGCTGGATTACATATTTTTAGAAACTGTTTGGTCTAACCTTGCTTTGATAACAGAGTAGTACATTGGATAATCAACCTTTAAATTCTCTTAGTGATACACTAATGCTTGTGTAGTATGTTCAATCTCTATACTAAAGGCTACCTTTTATATTAGGAGTGAGGATTTTTTTTATTTATTTTTTTTTTTACTGCAAGCAACTTTGAAGTGTTTAGATGTTTTTTTAAGTGTGGGTCACAATCTAGTGTGCTTTAAGAGAATCAAAACCTATTCAAGCTGTTGGTTTATCTGTGTGCTTGGGTATGGTTAGTTTTTGTTTTGACTTTAGAGTACTGCTGCTAATTGCATCAGGTTGCTCATTTAGCTCATTATTCATGTCTCTTTTCAATAATTTAGCTTGCACAGTTTCATAGGGGAGATGCCTTAATTTGCATCTAAGTATAGAGATTTATGAGTTACTTATTGTTTATCATCAGTTCTGAAACCTCTACAGTATTTGGGCAAATTCAGGACATAACAGTATATCCTATATGGTTTACATTGTAGGCTCTTAGAAAATACTATCAGTCACCTTGTTTAAAGGTGTGTAAGTTTTATGTGGTCACCTTTTATTGTAAAGCATATGACGACATAAGCAAAATAAGTATGTTCTAGTTATTGCAAATCTGTTTTCAAGAGTTAATGTATATAACAGAAAGGCATTCAGGTTCTTTACTGACTCTAGATAGAAGGCTGATATGGTTTAATACGTAAGATGCTATTTGAAGGTATAATTAATCACAATGCTCTCTATCTGATTGCAGATAATTCAGGAATTGAAAAGTAAAGATGTTAGCAAAACTTACCGAAAATCAATAAACAAAAAGCTGGGTATTACAGCACTTGGAGGAACATCCTCAATATCTACTGAGGGGACACAGCACTCTTATTCAGGTAATAAATAAGCATGAATAAACTTTACCTGACATGGGAAGACCCTTTAAATTTGCACTAGATGTGGAAAAAGAAGAAAACTGGAAAATATTGCTGTTGAAAGCAAATTAACAAAGAGAAAGCATGTGGAGGTAGACAAGACAAATTTGGGTGGCATTTTATTAAAAGGTGGCTGTTGAATTTGTCGCTAGCTTCGTGCTGCACTCAGAGGTAAGTTAGATATCTTTGCCAGAGTGAAAAATAAAAACGAACACTGACAGAATGTGGGGCTGCAGGTGAAACGCTCTTTTTGGCATCATGGTAGTAACTAGATTTAATTTTTGGCTTCGCTACATTTTAATCTCTTCTATATTAAGTATAGATTATTTTAATGTTGTTTTCAGAGGAAGAAAAAGTTGCTTTTGTTAATTGGATAAATAAAGCTCTACAAGATGACCCAGACTGTAAACACCTCCTTCCCATGAACCCATCAGATGCCAGTCTTTTTAAATGCCTTGCAGATGGCATCCTCCTTTGGTGAGTCAATGGCTGCATGAAAGAAACTCATCTCAGAGGTGAAGTGCTGATCACAGTGAAGTGTATTGGAAAACTTTTGATAGGCTTCAACACTGGGACTCAGCTCATAAATACGGTAACCAATGTGTAGGATGGGAAAAATGTTTGCCTATAAAATATTATTTTTAGTAAATTTTTATGTGACTCTGTGCATATATTATAGAAGTGGTTTCCTCTTCACATCCATTATCCTCAATGCCAGATATGTACAGGCAGTTTTTGAAGGAGATAATTACACAGTTCATATATTCATTACCCAGAAGAATAAAATATTTCAAATTGCAAAGATTTTCAGATTTAATAAATATATTTACTAAATCATAGGATGGGAGAAACAGAAATATGACTTAAATCTGTGGCAAAACAGCATATAGTACATCCCTAAACTCTAGTTTGCTATAATTTTGTAGTTACAGAATCACAGAATTTCTAGGTTGGAAGAGACCTCAAGATGATCGAGTCCAACCTCTGACCTAACACTAACAGTCCCCACTAAACCATATCCCTAAGCTCTACATCTAAACGTCTTTTAAAGACTTCCAGGGATGGTGACTCCACCACTTCCCTGGGCAGCCTGTTCCAATGCCTAACAACCCTTTTGGTAAAGAACCTAAAACTCCCACCTAAAGAACGTAAAACTCCAACCTAAAACTCCCCTGGCGCAACTTAAGCCCATTTCCCCTCGTCCTGTCACCAGGCACGTGGGAGAACAGGCCAACCCCCACCTCATTACAGCCTCCTTTAAGGTATCTGTAGAGAGCGATAAGGTCGCCCCTGAGCCTCCTCTTCTCCAGGCTGAACAAGCCCAGCTCCTTCAGCCGCTCCTCGTAGGACTTGTTCTCCAGGCCCCTCACCAGCTTCGTCGCCCTTCTCTGGACCCGCTCAAGCACCTCAGTGTCCTTCTTGTAGCGAGGGGCCCAAAACTGAACATAGTACTCGAGGTGCGGCCTCACCAGAGCCGAGTACAGGGTAGTGACTAACAGTACTTCTGCTCAATGGTAACAGTGGATAAGCTCATTAGTATTGATGTGAATTAGTATTTGAGGTTGTTGTAAGATTACAGAAATGCAGTGCAGAAGAATTAGTTATCATGCAAACATTTACACTGGAGACTATTTAAATGTCAATAATTTACGGTCATAATCACTGAAGATCTTTCTTTTTGTTTGACAGCACAGACATGCTCTGTTACTTAAGTATGAATCCAATTGCTCAAATTTCTTTAATTAGGTATTACATGGGTGTTTCTGGATGAATGTCCAATTATTTAACAAGGAGAAAAGATTTAATGAATGAGGTTGTCTTTTTTAATTTTGTCAGACATTTACAGCTAGTTTCAAGTGTTCGTGTTTTAACCAAATAATGAAGCATGTTTTCTGAGAAGTGGAAGTTTGAATAAACTCTGGCTTTTCTTCCTTAGCAAAATGATTAACTTTTCACAACCAGATACAATTGATGAAAGGGCTATTAATAAGAAGAAACTCACTCCTTTCACTATATCTGTAAGTACTGCACAGATAGGAACTTGTCGCAAATGAGAAAGTAAAATGTATTTTTTATAGTTTTGTTTTAATGACAGTTATTCTTGTGGAGAAAAAAATAGTCCTATGTATTTTGAAATGTCAAAGCATGAAAGTGTATTCTCTAACAAACTCAACTGAAGTCTTCTGTTTTTTAAATGGCTTACAGGAAAGCTTTGTTTGCATGCTTTCCTTGGTTGTTTCACTGGATTCCTTTTTGCTTTACTGAGAATCTGAACAAAACAATGTTAAATTTCTGAGTGGATGTCTGGATCAAATTTAGGGATGCAATGCAGAAAGTATCTGCATAACTGTATACTATAAGCTAAGATGATGTGTTTTCAGTAGCGGAGAGTGGCTTGGACAAAAGATAAGAAGCTCTATGTTTTTTTGACTCTGTATGAGCCACAAAATAGTTGAGGAGAACCTGTTTTCTCATATCCAAAATAATTTCTTAAAAACAGTTGTGAAAGAAGGAAGTAGATCCTTAAGCCTAAGGAGAAAATAAAATCCTGTTTAAAAGCTTCAGTTACTGGACAGACTTTTAATTTCAGGTGGTGACATAAAAATATGGAAAGTTAACACCACACCATGTTCTAAATCCTCCAATTGGGTCTTGTAATTTCTACTCGTTTAAGGGATACATGTCAGCAAGTACGATACATGTGCTTACGCTGTCCCTGTAGATAGTTAAAGTGTGACACTAGAGAGGAAAAAGAGTAATATGACACCTGCCTTTTTTTTGTATTATTTCATTTGTGGGGATCATTAGCTTCACTTTCAGTGTCAGCATGTTGAATTGCTCTGATTTGCTAACGGTGTTCAATCACACTTCGAGTTGCTTGAGTGTTAGCCTGCATAAGAGCCAAGATGATCGCTGTGGAGGCAGTGATTCCAGTAGCCTCCTACACAGGGATCTACTGATTCTACTGATCTGTTGATTCTACCAGATCAAGTCCCTGGTATTTTGGGCAATATTGTCTAATTTGTGTATGTGATACCTGTGAAATACGAATAAGACTGATTAGTAATCCAAGCAGTGGAAGGTGATCCACAGTTTTTTGGTGGGTTCATATCAAACATTGCCAATGATGATATTCAATAAATTTTGATAGGATGTGGCGTTTCACAAGAATATCTCTAGGGTGCACTGGGAACTATTCAACTAATCCATAAGTTCTTACAGTTTAAGACAGTTGGAAAATTCAGACGCTTAGTAAATTTGTTAATATTAAAGCTACAAAGATTCACAACCTCATAAGTTTGTTAAATGTTGACGTTCTGAACAGGAAAACCTAAACTTGGCTCTGAACTCAGCATCTGCTATTGGCTGTACGGTTGTCAATATCGGATCACAAGATTTACAAGAAGGAAAACCTCACTTGGTATTAGGGCTCTTGTGGCAGATCATAAAAGCTGGTCTTTTTGCTGATATTGAGATCTCCAGAAATGAAGGTAAGTGTAATGCTAGCTATTGTAATGTGTACAATTTGTAATTAACTGCTTTGAAACCATGATGGCAATTATTTCAGCTTTCTTTCAAACTTCTTTTTAGCTCTAATCGCTTTGCTAAATGAAGGGGAAGAACTAGATCAGTTACTGAAGCTTTCACCAGAAGAGCTCTTGCTGCGCTGGGTAAACTACCATCTGACCAATGCAGGGTGGCAGAAAATCAGTAATTTCAGCCAAGACATCAAGGTATGTAGTTATCACTTGGGTAATTGAACACAGTGGTATTAAAACATACTATGCATGGAAACAAATGAGCCAGGTCAGAAGTATTTAGAAAAATACCAGTCATCTGCTTTTTCTAGCTATAGGTTCAGCCTTCATTTTTCAGCACTGGAAGAACACGATTTTGATCTCATTTATCCTAGTCAGTTGTTCATGCCATATATTATCATATCACATATGATATATCACAGTGCTGAGTGAACATTTCCTGCAAGCCCATGCTCAAGGCAGTTCTAAATTTCTAAGTTTGTTATTAGAGCTACTTAGGGAAATTTGCACTACCCTGTTAGTTGCCCTTTTACTTGTCCATCCTTCTCTCTTTGTGGGTTTGTAGAAACCCATCATTTTTATTTTTTATTTTTTTTAAAGGAAAAAGAGTGTGGCTTTTAAACTCCTTCTGTTGTATATTTGCTAGTGGTTATTGCACTTTGTACGTGGCATTGTACAGAAGAATAGGAAACCACTTCTGGACAGTACAGTTATTTAGAGAGCTGTCTGGAGTAGCTACTGAATCTTGATCCAAGAAGTGAGCAGCCCCTCTCAATCACTGTTGTGCTGGTTTGCCACTTCAAAGACCTGAGGGGACTAGAAGCCGTGCTGGTTCTTTGTAGCAGATGTCAGGTCTTCATAACTCTTCTCTTGTTTTCAGTCATTCTGCATAAGGTATGCAGAGTACTGTAGCAAGTCCTGCTCAAGAGAGAGAAAAAACTTCAAAAGCAAAGGAGCTAGTTTCCTTAAGGTGGTAAGACACCTTCTCAATTGAAACAACTGTAATTGTTTTCTTTAGTTATATCTTTTCAAATGCCACCAAGAAGGCTAGTATTAAACCAAACTACAGTTTTATATGAAAACTGCTAATATAGTAAAGATCTATTTTCTATGTGAGAGAAGTATACATGTATACATAATACTTCTAAAATTAGTAGGTTTGCCTTTTAGTTTTATGGTTTCATAGTGGTAGGGGAGCAGAGGAGCACACTTAAAAACTGTGTAAAATAAATCTAACTTGTTTTGTCTCTATAAATTAACCTTAAAAGAGCTACTTCAGTCTTATTTTTTAATTCCACTTACTTAGTTCCATAAGAAATAGAAAAATTTAGGAAACCATTTGAAAAGAATAGTGAAGGAATGAAATACAAATACTGAAAATAAGATCCATGTTCCTTTGTAGTTATTTTTTTGTGGGTAACCTATGTAAATTTCTTTATCTTACTTGCAGCTGTCTACTTCATATCCAGCAGAATAAATGTCAATAACACCATCCAGAAAAATCAGCTTACACTTCTGTTCTTTCATTTGGCTAAATAAGTACTATGTGATATATGATAGTAAAGTGGCTATATGACCTCATCCATGTTCACTGTAATTAGAGTGCCATATTTCTGACTTGTGTGGCTTTTGAATCAGACTGCAAGAGTAGTAAATGACTATCAGAGGCTATGTATTTTTTCATTTATTAACACTACGCTGTGTGTTTTAGGATTCAAGAGCGTACTACCACCTGTTAAATCAGATTGCACCCAAAGGAGATGGCCCTGATGAAATACCTGTTAAAATTGACTTCTCAGGGTTTCATGTAAGTATCCTGAAATTTAAAAAAATAAGACTGGAATTATCTGAGACTTCTGTATATGTATCCAACGTCTTAGTTGCAAAGCTGTTCTGGAATTGCCTTTTGCTTTTGTGAAGCATACAACAGCTCAGTCAGATTATCCCATGTCATAGAAGATTAAATGAGAAAAGCTCGAGTCAAGTTCCAGGACACTGCTGAAACAGGGTTATGCATCCTATATTGGAAAAATTTGGAACTGTGTTTTACTTGCATTAGTGTGCAACTGTTTGGGGTTTTTAGTTGGATCTGCCAATATCAAATTTACAACATCCTGCTTCACTTCTATTCTTTTGGAATTCAGGCAAGGAAAAAAAGCTGACATCACAAACTTTGTGATCTTTCCTCAGACTGAATAGAATTTGGAGATATCATGTGAACCTTTCAAGTAACTAGCAGATCTATTTTGTTGCTTTTTTTTTTTAGGGGGAGTGAGAAAAGATAGTGTTTTTTTGTTGGTGTGTTTTTCCTTTGTAATTTCCTGTAGTTTATTTGATCATTTCCTGTAATGGGTTATAAACCAGTATGAATAATGTGCAATCTTCTTATAGAACAAGGTTCTGGTTGAGTGTACCAGTGTTGAATTAATGACTTTTATTTCATTCTAAGAGTAAATCAGTTGCTAACTGATTTCCCTTGAAATAGTAACTTTTAATGTTGTAAAGATTAGAGGCAAAAGGTATATGTTACATGGTTTTGAAGACTTGCTTATTCTAGGTAGATTAATAATAAAGATGAATATACAAAGTACCTTTTCATTACACGTAGGTTACCAACTAAAAAGATTTAAAGCCAAATAGAATCTATCACCTTATCTTTCTTTTGATATCACATCCAAACTTGGTGATGGCGGGTTTTGAAATCATCTGATCATCTAAGATCATCCATGTTTATGAGAATACCAGTTTGAAGCAGTGATTATGAACCTATAGCTCATATAGCAGAAATATATTCGGTAAGGGAATCAACAGCTTGGAAACAGAAACATAACCACTCACCTCTATCTGCTGTGATTCACTGGGCATGCTGAACAGGCAGCCACAGAAATGAAGGACAGAAAAAGTGGAAGGAAGAGGGGAATTGATAAAGTCTGTGAGAGCTAGCTTGGGTATTAGGGGAATGAGGGAGACACAGGTCAAGATTTGCTAGACTACAGCTTCAGTCAGAACATGCAATTGTTTGTCACAATTTAATATGTTTGTGGTTTTTTCTTTTTCAGGAGAAAAATGACCTGAAGAGGGCTGAATACATGCTCCAACAGGCAGACAAATTGGGCTGCAGGCAGTTTGTAACTCCAGCAGATGTGGTTGCAGGCAACCCTAAACTCAATTTGGCTTTTGTTGCAAATCTCTTTAACACACATCCAGCCCTACACAAGCCTGACAATTCATCTTATGATCTCAATTTATTAGAAGGTACTCAACTTGCTAAGCATATAGGAGATAAGAACGCTAATGACTTCTGTTTAAGTATTCTTTCTAGGTTGTGATAAAGGATCCCTGTGTGATGGTGCCTGTGTTAACACCAGCATATAGAGTGCATATTTTTCATTAGCTTTCAGCATAAGCCTGTAGTAGAAATCCTCATTAGCTTGACCAGAGGCTATTCATGAATAATCTCTTATTATTCACTTGCAGGAGCAAAGCCTGTTCTCTTATTGCTTTTCCAGGTTCCTGTGCTTCTTGCCTTACTATTTATATTTTAGCTGATGCACAAATACAGCTTTTCCTAATTTGGAGTACTATATTATGCAACTGTCTTTTAAAATCTACGATGTCTTCTAAAGTACTTCTCACGGGTTGTAGTTTTTATATACATGTGTATAGCTGGTTGCATTTTTAAAACTGGAAACTGATGTTTAAAAAAAAAAAAAGCTTATGTATAAATGACCTGTACAAATCTATTGCACCAACAACCTGTATGGATCCTAGCATATCTGTGAGCTTGTACTGTGCTTGAATTGTGCTGTTCGGATCCCTAATGCTAGAGATAAAGGAATAGTAATCCTTGGCTGCTACCCTTTCTGTGGACCAGCTAATCCAGGATAATGAAACAGTATAGCCAGTGTATTTCAGTTGTTCGCTGATCTCAAAGGAAAGGTGAGAAGGAGGGTTGCCGCACTTGAGAGAATCATTCACAATGTTAGCACATTGCTCTGCACTGCCTGCTCTTGCTTTCCTTACACTGTTCCTATCAGGTTTCCTTTCCATCTAGGTGAGTCCATCTTCCTTTGCTTCTAGCTTTCTCATAAGTTTCCTGCTCTGCTACAACCCTATTTCATAAATCTTGTACCCCTCAGACCACTCCTGTTTCAGGCTTCCTGCTTTTCTGGTTTTATGGGTGCCAGTTTTGGTAGAGGCATCAAAGCACAGGAGGCAGTCTTCCTTTTCCAGCTGTGACATCCCTAGTCACTGCAGTCCTTGCTGTCCGTGACAAACGATTGAAGAAAAGCCTTGTTCTTCCTCTGCTGCAATTTTATTGGAAATACATGCTTAGAATCGTGTGCAGGAGCTGTGTGGAAGTAGAATATGTAATCACCAAATACTAGAGTACTGTTCTTTAATGGTAAATACAGGCCAAATGTAAGTTGCTTTTTATAGTGACTATTTTAGAGATGGATAACTACGACAGCATTATCTGTTTAAAGGCAAGTAGAAGGCTCCTTTCTGCCCCCAAATAATAACTCCTGTGTTGCCATGTAGATCTAAACTATCGATAGTTATTTTAGCCAAAAACAATGTTGTTCTTGTGTGTTTTGTTTGTTTGTTTACTATTAAGTCCTGTATATTGGCTAACCTTTTCTCAAAGTACTGTTAGACAAAATGTTATTTGTTTCTTTATAGTGTCATCATAGATGGTCTGTTATAATCTGACTCATAATTTATAATGCTTTCCTATTTTGCTTCATGAAATCCAGATTTGACCCCTCCTAATGTAGGTACTGTATTTAGTACTTTTCTGTACTCTGTTAAAGTATTTATTCTGCATTTTTCTTGGTGTGATTTTTATCTAGTGTTTTAATTGTATCTGTCCTTTTCTGCTGGTTGATTTGCTGCATCATTCTTGTATTTTTCTATTGCTTTAATATTAAATTTAGTATAACTCAAAAGAAAAAAAAAAACACAGGTCTAATATGATGCATATAAAATGGGGGCAAGATGTGAACAAGTCAAACACCATATAGTTCCTTCTGTGAATCTAACCTTCCATAAGCTAAGTTTTAAAGCTTATGTACATGGGTGAGTAGAGCTACTTGAAAGCTTTGGTTTTCTTGCACTAAATTCTACCTTTTCCATGATCATTCCACCCCAAAAATATGATGTGGCTGTTCTTTTTGGTTTAAAACAATAAACACTAGGCATAAATTGGAATTTAGACTGATAATATGTCTAGTGGTGGTCACTTGTGTGCAGAGACCATATCCATCAGATATTTTTCCAAAAGGAAATAAACATCTGATACTGTGTGGGGTGGGAGGAGGAGAATGGAGTCCTCAGTGAATGCATCACCTTTACATGTTGCTGTTGCTCTGAGGAAATTCTCACTTGTAGGAAAGGCACCAGAGTTTGGGATCTAACTCCCAGAAAGCTGAGCTCTTGAGGGGAGGAGAACATGGAAACATGTCCACCCATCTTTTGTCCAGCATGCATGTTATCTGAGGCTGTTTTAAGTCTGCTGGCAGCCTTCAAGACTGTTAACATGAGAGGGTTAACTATTCCCACTCAGGCCAGCTGAATTTAGGGTGGAAACTTAAATCTTAAGCTCTGTTGTCTTTCAGAGAGAATCTCAGGTATTGGAAGCCCTTTGAATCTTGACCCCATCCTTATTGCTACTCCTCATTCAGTTCCATAGTATAATCTCAGAGAAGAAAGAGATGGCTATAAATATAAAGGATACTACCAAATTTGCTCCTCTCTCTTTTGTGTAGCTCTGTCCCTTTTCTGCAGTTTTCCTATGATTTTGGCTATCTGCTGCACCACTCAGCAGAAGATATGCTCCTGATAGGATGACAAGGTATATTTTGAATAAAAGAATGGAGAGAAAAAACTTGGTTCTGAGCCATCTGGAAGACTTAAGAACATTTACATGTTGCATGATAAAGGGATTTGTTTAAAGTGGCATATTAAATACACTGTATTGAATTCCTGCTAGACAAAATGGGGTTTCCCAACTTGCATGCTCTTGGTCTTGCTTGTCTACTTGGGATTCTTTTGGCAGTGTTAAGCATGTATTGTAAAATTCCCAGTTTGAGTGCAGTTGCCGAGTAATTTTTTGTAGCTATGCTTTTAGTAAGAGTTCATTAAGTAACCTGGTTGTCATCTTTGCAATGGACAAGTGTCCTTAAAAGCACTTTGTGGTCAATTTTTAGGCACTGTCAATTAACCCAAGGATCAGTAAGCCTAAAAAAGTACTAAAAGCAAAACATTTAAAAAAAAAAAAAAAACAAAAAACAAACAAAAAAAAAAACGACCTTAAGTACCTCTAAAGTACTCTCATGCTTCTATTTTGATTTTCTTTTCTATCAAAAAAGGCTGATGTTATTTATCACCAAACGTAATCCATTGTTGTCTTAAGTTTTGCTTTGGGAAGAAATATGTGAAACAAAGGTGACTACTGCCTGCAGACCTTGCAGAATAGTGTATTTCTTTCAACATGCATTCATTTGTCAATGAATCTCTGGTAACTTTTGTAAGTGAATCTGAAACAAATACCAGGTTGAATTCCATATGAAAGATCTCATAATTCAGGAAGAAAATACAGCAGTAGGATGAATATAATCAATTTCTTATTAATTGGAAAATAACTGGTAAACTGGCTGACAGTTTTGTGTTTTGTTTTTTTTTTTTTTATATATATAAAATGTGTTCTTTTGGAACATGCTAGTTACAACTGAAATAGCGCACAAAAATATCTGAATTTGTTAAGGTTGTGATAGATCCGTTTTCAAATCTGGGTGTTCTTATATAGACAAGAAGATCTATATTAAAACTGTAACCTCTATCTAAAAATAGATCCATAACATCAATTTAATGGAAAAGTAAAATAAAGGAGGTTCTTTCTAATCTGATGATGCACGTTTTTAAACATCAACTTCACTTTGCAAAAACAGTAATTGTTCTGTTGTCGGCATGAACTGCAGAACTAAATGAGGCTGTTTTCATGCTACATAAACCTCATTAGACAAACTCAGTGCCATTATCCTCTGAGGAAAAGGTGAAGAAAAATCTTCAGATTTTCATAAGTTTCATTCTGTGAAATCTATTCTATCATTCTTTATGGAGAATTTCTCTCTCCCGGTGTCCTCTCTATTTTCAACTGGATTATCAGACCAACAGAACAAAGCAATGATTTTACTGCAAGCTCATGTATTCAGGCTAAGTATTTCTTTAATTGTTGCTCTTTGATGTAAGAGGAAATGGCTTATGTAGCATTGATTCACAAGTAATTGGCCACAGATTCATTGTTAACTTTAATTTTCTACATACAACATTATTTAGTGTATTACTGCAAGCTGTAACCTTATCAAGAAAGAACATTAGTTAAGGGGTTCATGATTATAATAAGAACAACCTAAGTCAGGAAAATGAAGTTTTTTTTTCTACTGAATTTTCTGCATTTCTCATAGGATGGAAAGTAACTGGTAGGATTGCTGGAAGGCTTTTATGAAGTCTATTCTGTTGGAAAAAGTCAATCATAACTGAAACTTCCAACAATTCCAGAGTTGAAAGTTAATTTTGCAAGAATAACTAGTGTGTTTGGCAGTGTATACAGCTTCACACATTTTATCAGTATAATACTGCCCTGCTGAGCCTCCATTGTTAAAAACTGAAAAGGTGAGGTCTGTTGCTTTGGAGGACCTTTATAAATTAATACTGGGAACTTGTGTGGAGAGAGTAGAACTGTAGTTCTACAGTTGTAGTTCTGCAAACTATAACAGTCTACAGAAGTTCTACAACTGTAGTTCTACGGTTTGACACAATTGCATTGTGTTAATATTAAACTTTAATAAAAATGTGATTTCAAACACGTTTAAAGATTTGAATAAAGATTTGAACAGATTTAAAGTGTTGAATATACTTTCCACTGATTTAGTTTTAGGAACTTTAGTCATTAACTTTGTTATTACTTATCACCATTTGCACCATTATATATTCATCTAAAACAAAACCAATGTACGGTCTATTTCTGTATTTATTTTTTTATTTTTTAAGATACGTTTACACACACCCACAAAGATGGACCCTGTGCTCTCTGGCCATTTGCTTAGAACTGAGGGACCCTGACCTTGATAAGATCACCTCTACTTATTGGCCATTAGGGACTACTATTATGGAAATGATGAACTTATTTTTAAGGAGAGGAGGAAAAAAAAAAACACACCATAGTGCAGGAGCTGTGACTTGTTGGTTGTATGTGAGTCATTTAAATGTTGCTTATTAAAATGTTTTCTCCAAGTAATTTATATAGAATTATATTTGTCACTATAGGAGAAAGTAATGAAGAAAGGACTTTCAGAAACTGGATGAATTCACTGGGTGTAAGCCCATATGTTAACCATTTATACAGGTAAGACCTTTTTTTCTTTAAGCAGTATTTTGTTCTCCCTTGGTTATAAGAAAGTAGGTATTCATGAATATCTGCTAGAATATAGTAACAATGGGAATAAAGGGAAGTTGTATTTCTACTGAAATAGTGACTTCCAAATTTCCATACAGCATGACAGGAACTTTTCCATAGAACTCATTAAGCTGTACCTGATTCAGATATTCCATTCATGATTGAGAAATACTCAAGTATTTAATAACTTTTTCATTGTGCATATGAAATTTCATACTTTAAAATATTGGCTTACTCTCATTAGTGACCTCTCTGATGCTTTAATCATTTTCCAATTGTATGAGATGACTCGTGTGCCAGTTGACTGGAGCCATGTCAACAAACGTCCTTATCCTCTGCTTGGTGGTAATATGAAAAAGGTGAGTAGATACTCTCAAATACAGTTTAGTTTCACAGTTTCCAGTTGTGCTGTTTCTAGTAACCTGGATTGTCTAGATTGGAGTGTTAGTGAGACAGTCCTAGGCGTAAAAAAGAAGGGAGGAAAAAAAAAAAAAAGAAAAAAACAAACAGGAGGGGTGAGGGGAAACAGGAGGGGAGAGAAAAATCTTCCAGGTATTGTTTCAAGAAATAGCAATATTATCACTTGAGTTTCAAAATGTGAAATGGGGCTGCCATTTGGCAATATTAAATTTACGATTTAATTAGGGCATCTCAGTAAAAATTTCAGGCATGACATAACTGTTGTCCAATGCTTTTATATCAAGAGGTATTGCAGAGTAGTTTAATGTTGTGCCAGGAGAATTTGTGGAAGTCCTGCAGAATCCAAGCTTTCACTTAGTTTGTGATCGTTATGAAGCCAGAAATGTAGGGCAAAAAAATGCTGTTTAAAAATAATGTATTCTAAGTATTCTCCCCAATTCAGTTTTGATGTGACTATTTATTACTTAGATAAAAACCAAGAGAAATTTTTTTCTCAGGTGTGAAATATGATTAGCATTGCAATGTTATGTAATTCTATTTATATCTGAAAGAATAGTAAAAACAGCATAGTGTACAAAGGCTAGAAATCTTTCTGTAGCTTCAAAATCTCACGATAGGTAACAGTAAGCCAAAATAATTGATACTACGCGTAGTTTCTAGGTCTGTGTTACAGATTTTTTATTTTTGCATTGTTTGTATATATTTACTTTTAGATTGAGAATTGCAATTATGCTGTAGAACTTGGGAAGACAAAAGCAAAATTCTCTCTGGTTGGTATTGCTGGACATGATCTAAATGAGGGCAATCCTACTCTGACTTTGGCTTTGATATGGCAGCTGATGAGAAGGTAAGTTAGGCTTAGTATACGATACATGTATGTATCTGTGCATGTCTTCATATATGTTGCTGTTTGTACATCAAGGGAAACTAAAGCAAGTGTTCAGCTCATCTAACAGTTACAGTGATGGTCAGTGTATGTAAGAGGAAAGAACAGGTGCAATCGCTTCAGTGTCCTTCACCAGTTATACATGTAATCAGGTACAAAAGCTTCCATAATCTGAGTGAAATTTCATACTTCGACATAAAAATTGCAAGACACTAGCCTAGCAGTAGAAATAACAAAGTTATATAGAAACATAATCATAACTGTTCTATATAAGAATTAATGCTACTGGAAAAGCTGATAAGCTATATTAAATTTCTGATCAAGATTTGTCTTATTCATGTTGTATTGATTCAAACATTTAAATTGACCAAAATATTTTGAAGCTTTTGTAATCGAAGAACCATTGTGAACTTCTACAAATTCAAAATCTTTTTGACTTAATATTAACAAATAAAGCTGCAGCACTGCTAGCTTTTTTATTTGTTATTTTAAATACTGACCTGACAAATATGGGAGTTCAGGTAGGTTAATAATAGAGGAAAATGTTTAAGAATGAATCGAGAACTAAGTGCAAATTTCTAGTGTCTTTTAAATAAGTGTTTTGTGGAGTCATTTGTAAACATTCACTTACTCTGAGATATAAATTTTATACTTTTTTTTACATGCTGTGTAGTTATTGAAACAACGGTAGTGTGTGTTTCTATATGCATACATCCATTTATATATCAATAATTAAAACCTTACATATTAAAAATTGTGATTAAAATTGGTTATCCTTCAGCCAATATAAAAGCACATCATTTATTTTGTCTTTATTCCATGTGTTTTTCTGAAAGTACAGAGTGATTTAAAAATTTGTGCAATCAAAAAAGGAAGATAAGTAGGAAGAGATGATGTATGCTATAGACTTGAAAACAGGGAAGAACTTTAAAGCCATCACAGCTTTGTAATGTAAAAATTAAAATCTTGTTAGTGCACTGAGCAGGAATAAATGTAAGTTGGTTTCGGTAAAGAATATTTTAAAGAATTTTCCATAAATTAATTTACCCTGAAATACTCAGTGTTTCATTTCTTGGACTGTTGAGCCTGGATGCAGGGGGCACGTTTAAGCATATAAAGTAAAATTAGCTATAATGTGCTGAGTAAAATACAGAAAGAAGATGTAATACTGAACATTGAGTTGTAGGATGTTATTTTATTCTTGCAACAACTGAAAAAGCGATTTAATGAACTAATAGTTTATAAGGTAGGGTATTTTATGAAGATGAGTACTTAAAATTGTTACTGTGCTGAATTAATATTTTACTTGTGCTTTTAGATTTAATTCAGACTCTTATTTTCCTTATTAAAGGTATACTTTGAATGTATTATCAGACCTTGGAGAGGGGGAAAAAGTAAATGATGAAATTATTATTAACTGGGTGAATCAGACACTTTCAAATGCAAATAAGAAAACTTCAATTACCAGTTTCAAGGTAATCAAATACATTTGCTTTTCTTTCCACCTATAACTAGATGTAGGATTTTTAATCTGATCCATTAACAGTTTGGCTTTAACTGTGGCTCTTCCGTATCAGCTAGCATAATTGTAAAAGGAAATAGTTTTGAGAGTCTGTTAATTTTCAGAAGTATTTCACAGCTCTATTAGTAACAAGAAATCTTAGAGCAGAGACTGTAATTTCTAAAAGTTAATGAAATAAAATAAAATCCAAGGGACATCTGCCTGAAGTCATGCCAGTGTTTGGGCATGGCGTGTCAGATACCTTGCATTTATATGGGTATTGGCACACTCATATTTATGAGCACAAACATGAAGAACAGTTTTGGAAATACTGGGTGTGAGAGGAAGAGATCGCACCGCTTCTTCAATAGCAGCCATTGAAAAAGAGTGTGACAGCACCAGTGGAGGGAACCCAATTTAACCAGCAACCTGTGTTGGCTTGAATGGCATTGCTGGTGTGCCACAGACCTAACAGAACAGGTCACTGTCAAATAATAATTTGAAGTGCTACTGGAGCTTATCTATTTCAGCAAGTATGAGCTAATTGATAAATAAAGCTTTCCTTTTATCTGCTTAGTGTTAGGCATGAAAGAAATCATGTATGTCAGGTGTATGTATCATGGTGTGTTGATTTCATTCCTTAGAAGTGGTAGATCAACTGCAGGATTGCACTTGTACACAAATATAGCATTCTTATACAGGTTTATTGTATGCACTGAAACAGTTATATCAATGTAGTTCACAACAGGAACATAAAAACCTACCAAGTCAAATATTTGAGAGCTCACTGGTGTGATATTGTATTAGGTAAGCAATGGGCAGAAGGTAATGTCAAATTATCTTTCTATACCAGAAGACTTAATTTTTATTGTAGAAGGTAAATTTGGTGTTGGTCTTCATAAAAGGGATGATCAACTTCTCCTATTTCTACATTTATTGTAGCAATATTAATATAAATAAATTGAATGTAAGAAGATGATCTGTCCCACCATCTTGATTTTGGTATGCCTGTATTTTTTTGTGGAAAGGTTGTTTGTTTTTAAGGTTGTTCAGAGGATGGTAGACCAATACAGTCAAGAGACATTCTTCAGCACACTTCTCTTACTACTGATTTTTGACAACATTCATGTATATATTATCTTTCACAATTTGAGTTTTTGTCTATGTTTTGGGGTTACTACTACAACCATTGTATAGCAGAGAACATGGAGGTCCCTGCTATTTGTTGTGGAATATGAAAGCCAAGTTTTATCACATTGGCATTAATTGAAACAAAATTTTTTAAAAAATGGTTTATTTTCTTGCAGAGATAACCAAGCACTCCATGTCTTCAGGCAGATGTATATTACTATTTGTAAATGCATAGTTAGTGAGTGATGACTCTGTGGAACTTGATGGAATTTGAAATCATAGCTGTAATCTTGTGATGAAGGCAGCTGGGTCATGTGTTTTATCAGCCGAGGCTCTGATGAAACAAGAGCCAGCATTGCTGAAACTGTCTTCATGTTGGTTCCCTACCTTCCCAAACTGTTGGTTTGATTTCATCTTGCAGCAGGCTGCTTATTTCCTGTGATATTAGGTGAGAAATAATGGCAGCAACAGCATTTTCTATTTTAAAACTTGAGGAAAATACATCTATGTATTACAGACAAAACATAAGACTGCTCATGCTATCTGGGATGCAAAAATAATGTAGTGGGCAATAAACTACTTCAGAAAATAATTCTCTTATGAGAAAAAAAAAATCAGACTAGTTTGGGAACGCAAATACCATTTTGTTATCTTGAGGATAGTCTGGTGCTTGGACTTCTTTCAAAGTTCCTTTCTGCCTGGGGAAGGGGGAAGACTTTTTCATTCAAGTAATTTAGGCCATTTATATTTGTGCAATGATACCAACATTGAGTGTGAAACTTACAATTTAGATGTGCTGAAAACAACATTAGATTACATAAAGGGGGAGGAAATATTTATGCAATAAAGTAACAAAACATACTGCTAGTTTTCAGTATCTAAGATGGCCTGTAAGTTTTCTTTCATTGCAAAGACAGAATAATCAGGAACCATTAGGTTCCTTATGCTAATGTTTTACGTATTTTCTTTTAGGACAAATCAATTAGCACTAGTTTACCTGTCCTAGATTTAATAGATGCCATTGCACCAAAAGCAATTCGCCCAGAAATGGTCAAGAGAGAAGATCTTTCTTATCAAGACAAATTGAATAATGCCAAGTAAGTTTTAAATCAATGCTTTGTATTTTCCTGAAGTGTAGAAATGCTTTATTTCCTGGTATAATTAATATGGCTTATCAATTTAACAGAGAGAAATTTCTCTAATGTTACTTTGCCTACTCCACTGCAATTGGTTTATTAAGTCTGCCATAATCCACACTTTTTCTGAGAAACATAAATGCTATAATAATGGGTAGTAAAATGGCTGCCACTACAGTTGCTAATACGTAGTTTACCAGAATAATGTTTATTTCCTCCTAGAGGATAAGTGTTGACTGAATGGACATACACTGCTATTAAAATCTGTTGCTGTGAATCTTCATGTGTTAGTAGACGTAAGTTAAATGATATTTATTTTTGTTTGCTTTCTAAGGTATGCCATTTCAGTTGCTCGCAAAATTGGTGCTCGTATATATGCTCTCCCAGATGATCTGGTCGAAGTGAAGCCAAAAATGGTGATGACAGTGTTTGCATGTTTGATGGGAAGAGGACTGAACAAAATAAAATAATGAAGAGATTTAATATCACTTTCTGCCATGTTAAGGACGATGAGATGACGAATGCCTCACAGCTTACAGAATTCTGAAGCTGAACAGAATAAAATGAGAAAATGTTTGCACAAATATTCTCGTTAATTACATCCAAATGTGTTTATATAAAGATTTCATTCAATTTCATAAAACATTGATTATTTATGGGTACTATTGTTTCCAGAACATGTTCTTTACCAAATTAACATAATTAATTTGTATTGCTTGAAAAAACAAAAACAACAACAAAAAAACAACCTTATCAATCAAGTTTCATTTGTATTAGCTTCCATAGCATGTAACAATCTGTATTACTTTACATATATTATTTCAGGACCAATTGTGAAACATCATTTGATTTTTGTGGGTGTTAACTACATGTAGTCATAGCTATATCAAGGTGCATTCCTATCCCTGTTATATCATTATAATATTATAGTATAATGTATTACTGCGTAAGTTATCATCCTTGCCTTACTCTTTAAGAGCTTAAGTCCTGTTGAAGTCAGAGAGTCTTGTCCTTGACTTCCGTGAGAGCAAGTGAAGGCCTATGATAATTTCTGGAAGCTAATGAATATTCAAAAAGCTGATAACTTTTTTTGTGAGCATAACTTTAAATGTGTAATAGTTTTGTTATTGAGCAAGAACTTACGGTCTGTGTCTTGAGGGGGAAAAAACAGCAAATAACAGTGTAATCATGTCATTATTAGATCTGCATAGGTTATCTTTTGCAATTGAACTAAAAAAATGATTTTTTATTTTTCATAAAATACTGTAAAAGAGAACAATAAAGGTCTAGCTGTTCCAGTTTTGGGGTTCATTGATGTATTGCATTTCCTTATAGATTGGGAAAAAAAATAAAAATCAAAAGGAACAAAGTATATAGCACATGTAGAGGTTTTGTATAGAAGGACTGGTACGTTGTCTACATGAGGGAAGACGTAATTATTTTCATATTGTTTTTCAAAGCAAGTACTTGTAACTTTCTCTGCAGCCATAAATTTTCACCTAAGATTCAAGAGCTAGATATGTAATAAAACAACACTAAGGAAGCCAAACAGTAAGGCAGACAGAAAACTAAAAAATTGACTTTTCGTTTTAAGGCGTGAAGCCACTCCTTTTGGTTCTGCTCCTTAAAATGGTCACTAAGGTGTGGCAAAACCCAGGGATGATGATGAGTGGCCAGTCATACTAAGCTTCAGTATTTGGCCCAACCTATTAACAGTGAATTTGATGCATCAATTTGGTTTTCCCTTGTGTAAGAGAATACTAGGAGCTTTAGAGGATTAGTTACTTGGATTTAGAACCATTTGTCTCTGTTTACTGGTTTGTACTGCCTGGACAATAATAAATTAGCAATATTAGCAGTAATGTGTTTTCTATTTGTGGTTATAAATAGGGCAAAGAACCTCAACTTCTGTATGACGCTGATGCTGAAGCCAAACCAGTTTCAGTCCTTATTCAGGATCAGCTCAATTCAGGCTTATGGAGGCTTTGTTGTGCAAGACTGCGTTCACTTCTTGAGCTATGCCGCTCTAAAGCACTGTGTTCACTTGCTCTGGCAGTCAGCAAATTATGGTGTGGGGTTTATATTTGATGTTGTGTAATGCATTTGTCTTGGTTTGTTCCCTTTAAGAGGAAGGAAAAAAAAAATCTCCTTATACAGTTTTTCAAACTTAGATGAAACCACCTGGCTACACCTCGAAGGAAAGGATTTCCATCCTGTACCGGCCTGCCCAACTGGCACCTCTCCCTTCCCCCAGCACGCCCACCCGGGCCTTTGTGTCCGTGTCGCCCCTCAGGGCGCTCCCCTCAGGGCGCTCCCCTCAGGGCGCTCCCCTCAGGGCGCTCCCCTCAGGGCGCTCCCCTCAGGGCGCTCCCCTCAGGGCGCTCCCCTCAGGGCGCTCCCCTCAGGGCGCTCCCCTCAGGGCGCTCCCCTCAGGGCGCTCCCCTCAGGGCGCTCCCCTCAGGGCGCTCCCCTCAGGGCGCTCCGCCGAGCCCTCGGGGCGGACCCTGCGGGGGCCCCCCCGGCCCCCAGGCGCGGCGCCCGCCCGGCCGCGCTCCTCCCCGCCCGCTGCCCCTCAGAGCGGCGACGCCGCCATCGGAGCCTGCGCAGTGCGGCGGGGAGCGGCCGCCGTGCCGAGCCCAGCCCTGCCCAGCCCTGCCCAGCCCTGCCCTCCCCTCCCCGCCTGGCAGCGCCGCCCGTGGCCGCCCGGCTCCCCGCGGCCGCGCCCCGCAGCGCTGCGGGTCCCGCAGCGAGGCGCCCCCACCGCGGCCGCGCTCTGATGGGCCTGGCGGGGCCGGCGCCATGGCCGCCCTGTACCAGAGCGCGGACCCGTCCGCCTCGGCCTCGCCGAACAAGCTGCTGGCGCTGAAGGACGTGCGGCAGGTGAAGGAGGAGACCACCCTGGACGAGAAGCTCTTCCTCCTGGCCTGCGACAAAGGTACGGGCCGCGCCCTCGGCGAGCCGAGGCCCAGGCCTCTCGTCCGAAGGCCCCAGCCCATCTCCGCGCTGCGGGGCGCCGGCCTCCCCTCGGCCCCGGCCCCGTGTCCGTGCGGGGTTCCTGCCCCCTCGGGGAGCTGCTGAAGCCTTTGCTGCCTTCACCGTGAAGGGCGCTTTAGGATGGGCATGGGCAGCTGGTCTGCGTGTCCCCAAGGCTCACGAGACAGGGTTCCTGTGAATTGCACCCAGAGAGATGGATGTGCAGAGGTTTTCCTTTCTAGAACACCAGGCTTAATTATTTTTAGCGTACTTTTTTTTTTTTTTTTTTTTTTTTTTTAATCTCGGGTATTAATAGTCTTAAATCAAACCGGTCTTAATGTTTTAAAAACATTGGGCTCAAAACCAAGCTTCTGATCGTGTAGCGAATGGTCATGTGTGTTTCGGGACGTAAGCCCCGCTCTAGAAGGAGATGTTTCTGTGCAGCCCTGCCTGCGGGGCCTGTGTCTGGGGCAGTTACAGCCGGGGGAGCTGGTGCAGAGCTGGCAGCCAGCGGGCTTCAGAACCTGGTGCTGGCCCTCCCTGGGGCTGCGTTCCTTGCCTTCAGACAGCCGTGCTGGTAGCGTAGCCTGTCCTGTAGAGCACAGCAAGCCACAGCCTTCTCTCAAAGCATAAACAGAGATTCAGGGAGCCAAAAGGATGCACAACAAAACAACATTTAACAGTAGTCTGTGGGGCAGTTGTTTGGCAGCCAGTACTCCTGCAGGCTGTATCTGAAGTTTCTGTAAGCATTCTGCAGTACGGTCTGTCTTTGTCCTGGTCTTCTACGCTGCAAAATAATTTGTTACTCAAGACAAAAATGATTTAAAACTTACGCGTTTGGCAGGAAGAAGCACTTAATATTGAATAGGGTAGGATCTGTACTAGTATGTCTGCACTTAAGTCAAATAGGAAAGTGCAGCTTGTGTGCATGTTACAGTTAGTTTTACTTGCTCATCAAACCCGCTACCTTGAATTTTATGACATTGTACCACACCTGCTTTGATAGTGTATGCATTAAAAATGGAATGAAACGGAGAAGACTAATGAGGCTTCTTTGAAGGAAGACACAGATGTGTTTGCAGCACTGTAGAGAGGGCTCCTCTGACGCTATGGCTTCTCTGCACTGAGACCTCTGATGTAGTTGACATTTCCAGTGTCTCACAGGGTATGTCTGGGATGTTGCCCCAGTTTTGAGAAGTGTCCCAGCTTGTGTGTGTGTAAGACTGAAACTAAGGGGATTAAAGTACGTCTTGGTGCTTTCCTGAAAGATCTGCCAATGTCTTTAGATTCCTATCTGATGGGAGAATTCTTATCTACCTGGGCTTCTTAATTGCTTGATGTATCAGTGTCTGTTGTCAGATGTTGCGGAATGTTGTCTTCTTTGATGGTAGCTGGTACTTACAATGTTCACATGCTTTTATTGCTTTATAATAAACAGAACACTAAGATATGCTCATACGTTGGTGGTGCAGGTGACTACTACATGGTTAAGAAACTCTTAGAGGAAAACAGCTCGGGTGAAATGAACATAAACTGTGTGGATGTGCTTGGAAGAAATGCTGTTACCATAACCATTGAAAATGAAAATTTGGATATTCTACAGCTTCTTCTGGATTATGGCTGCCAGGTATGCAACACAGATTATTGCAATTTTTAAGTGTAGTCATTAATCTGTTTATTCTATTTTATATAGCTCTTTTTGTTGTTCTTGTTGATACATCAGGATATCTAGGAAAATGCTATCTGTCTTTATAGGCACTTCAGTCCTTTTTTTCTAGTTAGGGATTGTGAAAATTGTTTTCTCTTGGTAATTTATTCTTCTAGTGGAATTTTATTGGCATGGCAAATATATACTAACATTTTCAATTATACTAACAAGTCTAAATTTTATTCTAAATGCTATTCCTGTTTTAGATATAATGTGTATGTTATATTCAAACAAAATAAATAGTGTACAGTCAGTGCATAACATTAAAATGTTTAGAATGTCAAGACCTCTTTGGCTCTGGAATATAATAATTTTTAAAGTGGGAGCACAGTTAGATGAATGTAGATTCTCTTAGAGGATTTCAAGTTAAGGCAGGCATTCATTTCTTTAGTGCCTTCCTGTAAAACCTGGTCTGTGCTGGTTGGCAGAGGCAGTTTCATACTAACGGTGCTTGCTTGGCTATGCTGTACTGCTATAAGCATGCTCTGCTACTGCTGGGAGAGTTTTATCTATGACAGTTTTAAGCACCTAAGACAGGGAAAGATACTCATCTTTGTTAGGTTGTTTAATATTGGACAGGGAAAAAAAACAAGCAGCTTTCTTCTCCCCGGATCTCTATTTTAGTGGTAGTAATAAAAGGTGTGTCTCTCTTTTATTTTTAAACATTTGAATTTTCTAAAGTGAATTATAAAGAACACTGTCAGCTGTAGGGGAAAATTAAAACCTATGTAGCTTAACTTCAGAGGTGTTTCAGAAGTAGTTATGAGTCCAGGAAAAAATAACCGTATATTCATAGCTTTACCACAGAACTAGGAAGGCAGGCCTGAAGTGTCTGATATATCTGAGTTGTGTTACACAGACACTTGGTTTTAACGTTTTTAGTGGACACTTCCACAGCCTTCTTAGTAACCTGTCCCTTAGAACCTGATTTTCTTGAGTCTCCTGTATTGTTGTTGATGTAAAGTAATTTTTGCACCTGGTTCTTTTGCTGTTCATGTAGTAAAACAAATTGTCAGTAGTACTATGCTGACTCCTGGAATGACAGCATAAATAGTAAATAAAAAGTATCCTGATCCATCGTGGCAGTGCAGGATATTTTATAGTACTTACTTTTAAGAAAATAAAATCAGTAAATTTTAATATATTTTAAATTATTATTTAGTTTGGCTTTAAATTGACTCTTCATTTTGTTTAAGGTGCCGCTGTTTTTACATACAGCTTGTTTTCTTTCCTTAGTCATCAGATGCACTTTTGGTGGCTATTGACTCAGAAGTGGTGGGAGCTGTTGACATTCTACTTAATCACCGGCCAAAAAGATCTTCCAGACCAACCATTGTAGTTGAGTGTTGTTATTCCTTGGATTTTGGTTGGGGAGTAAGGGGCTGTACATTCTGGGTAACTGTAGTATTTAAAGCACTGTCCTTAAATGAAATTCTGCATCTCATAAAGTCATAGAATGTGGACATCAGAGATTATTATTATGGAGTCTTTGGTATTAAAGTGTAGAATATGTTGGTTTGCTTTAGTGCCTGTAGGAATCCAGTGGTTTTATGCATGGCAAATGCTAACAAATGCCTCAGGAGAAAAAAAGTAGAGTGGTTATAAAATCTTCTGTTGCCAAGAGTTTGCAAGGTAACTAGCAATCTTGACCAGTATATTCATATATTGAGCTTCCTAGAGTTTTCAGATAAACATCAAATCTTCACCTTGAAATTAATCATTTGAAACTTAGAGACGTACCCTGGCAATGCTCAAGCATGAAACAAGGAGAAGCAGATCAAAGGAGAGAAGGCATAATGCACTGAATAACACTGTGTCAGGATATTTTTCCTGCACTTAGATAGCAAAAATGTTTTGTTTTGTTTTGTGTTTTTTTTTTCATCAAAATAGAGCAATACACTTCTTAATACCATATACGCATATGTTGGAAAAGGTAGGCACTGAATGTTAGGTTTTCTTTCTTAATAACCCAGAAACATCCTGTGTCCATTGTTCTTTTTCCAGTATTTATATGAGAAGCGTTTGAATGTTGTTACAATTTTTCCCTCATTTTCATGTTATGAAACTTTAAAAAATATTTTGAAGGAGGAATTCATTGGGAGCACTGTTGAACAGTCAAAAATAACTTGCGTGTAAACACTGTAATACAGCTGCATGTAATAAATTTAGATACTTCC